CTTCCTTCACCACTTCCTACGTCACGGACCTGTTTCCCTCCCTTCCCATAGCATTTTAGGATTGGAAATACCTTAATCAAATCGTCATAAATAGTTCCCACACTCTGGCCAGCTCGCCTTGACTTCTTCCTTCACCACTTCCTACTTCGCGGACCTGTTTTCCTCCCTTCCCATAGCATTTTAGGATTGCAAATACCTTAATCTAATCGTCATAAACAGTTCCCACACTCCGGACTACTCGCCTTGACTACTTCCTTCACCACTTCCTACATCGCGGACCTGTTTCCCTCCCTTCCCATAGCATTTATGATTGTAGATGCCTTAATCTAATCGCCATAAACAGTTCCCACACTCCGGACTACTCGCATTTACTACTTCCTTCACCCCTTCCAACGTCACGGACCTGTTTTCCTCCCTTCCCATAGCATTTTAGGATTAATAAATAAAAGGTTAAAATACCTGCTTGTCGCCTTGTGGTCCTAGTATTGTCCTAGTGGATTATGTACATTTCGGCGCGAGCGCCATCGTCGGATCCATATAAGAACTGTTTACACTAAACTTCCCTGAAGAGGTGCGTAAGATGTCCACAACACAAAACACATATAAAAACCGGTCGACCGTTAATTAACATTTTTAACTTTTGCTACGCGTGCACGGGCAGGATATGGAGGCGCGCCAGACGTGTGTCGAGACTCGACTGAAGACGGTAGTTGGTTGTGATCTGACCTTTGTCGTGGTGACGTAGCTAGTGCATTGTTTCGGCTATTATTCATTTGTATTAAGGTTTCAAAAAGAATGTTGGATTGCAGGGTGTTTTTGTCGTTTAACAGGTTGTTTGTTTCAATTTTAGAGGCTCTGTAAATTTCGAACTGTTCCAATGCCGTCATTGTTCGGCCTTTTTGGCAAATATGTAAAGGCTGCAAATTTGTTGTTATATCAGTATAACTATTGTTACTGGCTACCAAATGGTCGGCGAAATTTGATTTTTGAATGATGGTTTTCTTAGGAAGATGTTCTTTAAATCTCTTTACAAAGGGCCTTCCAGTTTGGCCAATGTAAAACTTATCACAGTCATTACAGGTTATTTTATAAACTCCTGTTTTTTGACAAAAATCCTGTGGTGTATTTTTTACGGAAAGGAGATTTTGGAGTTTGTTAGATGTTTTGAAGGCTACAATTTTGCCATGCTTTTTCATCTGGTTTTTCAGTGTATGGGAGAGGTTGGTTCCAAATTCAACTGATACATACTCCATTCGCTCTTTATTGTTATCAGTGCTAGTAATGGCTTTTTTCTTGATTATTTGTTTATTGGTCAAATTATCGATCAATTTAGGGCTGTATCCATTTGAGACGGCGATGTATTTAATTATGTTTATCTCTTTTTCATAATCATCAGGGTTTAGGGGGACGGTGAGCATTCTATGAATGAAACTATTGTATGCTGCTATCTTGTGTTGGAAGGGGTGATGGGAAGTTTCATGAATGGTGGTATCGGTGGCTGTAGGTTTCCTGTAGATGCTGAATACAATCTTATCTTTTGTTTTTGTTAGTGTTAGGTCTAAGAAATTGAGTTTTTCGTTTTCTTCAAATTCTATTGTAAATTTTAGCTGTGGATGAATGTTGTTTAAATAATTGTTAAAAAGCTGGATTTGTCTATTGTTGCCATTATACATGATGATGATATCGTCAACATATCTATGGTAGAAAATGATACGGTACTTGTATTTGTTGGTATTGTCTGTCCATAAATGCTGATTCTCCATTTCATTCAGGAATATTTCTGCTAATATTCCTGATAAAGGTGACCCCATGGCGAGCCCTTCTTTCTGTGTAAAATATTCATTATTGAAACTGAAATAATTTTGTTGGAGTACTGTTCTCAGTAAAAGCATCAATTCATTTATTTCATCTTGGTTCAAATTAGAATTTTTGGTCAGATTTTTCTGTAGTATTTTTAAAGTTTCTAGGACGGGTACATTAGTATATAGGTTGGAGATATCTAAAGAGGCTAGAGTGTGTCTGTCATTAGGTTTTATGTCTTTGATTTTATTTACTAGATCCATACTATTTTTTAGAATTGCATTATGAAATTAATGATGAAATTAATTATGAAATTTTAGGATTGCAAATACCATAATCTAATCGTCATAAACAGTTCTCACACTCCAGACAGCTCGCCTTGACTACTTCCTTCACCACTTCCTACGTCGCGGACCTGTTTCGCTCCCTTCCCATAGCATTTTAGTATTGCCAATACCCTTATCTAATCGTCATAAACAGTTCCCACACTCCGGACTACTCGCCTTGACTACTTCCTTCACCACTTCCTACGTCGCGGACCTGTTTCCCTCCCTTCCCATAGCTTTTTAGGATTGCAGATACCCTAATCTTATCGTCATAAACAGATCCCACACTTCGTACTGCTTGCCTTTATACTAGGCCTACAATGTATCGAGCAATCTTCAGTATAATCTTTGCTCAATAGTAACAAGTGATGCTTTCCCTTTTGTACTGTATTTGTAATTTGCTATTATACTGTGGGTAGTTGGCTTATTATGAACACATGCTACAACTTCAAGTCTTTTGTTTACTTTTTCCTTGTTATTTAATTCAACCAACATGGTTACTTAGCAACCCATAAGCCTAAATGTTAAAAAAAATTGACTTTCAGTTTCGTTTTTCTATGTAATTAGATTTTTGTTGGCAGTTCTAACTGCATGCAACTCATTTTTAGGCCAAAAATAAACTATTTACAAGATTTGAAGAAAATCGTCGGAGCCGTTTTCGAGATCTTTCTGCAAGCAAGCAAGCATACATACAAGCAAACATTGCTCGTATTAGAGTATAGGATTAGTCAATTTGTTGAGTTTAAAGTGAGGTTAAATATGTTACTCTTGTAAATGGCCTAAAGTCAAAACGTGTAGAGTTTAAAAAAAAAAAATAATAATTTCAGGGTACTGAGTTAGTATGCATTCTTTAATATATATATATACTAGCTGAGTACCCGTCCTTCGTACGGGGGTGGTATACAATGCTTATTGTAGTTAAATACTCGTGCTTTGCATTTGCAATGAGAGAGGACACGTTTTGAGAAAATTTGGTTAACTATAATCTACGGTATACTATAGTATATAAAATATCTACCATAGCCATAATGTTCTACCACTTCACCTAAACAATAGAAAGAAGTAAAGTTCTCACACAGGTTTTTGTTGCTGCTTGGTTCAAATTAGCTGTTGTCATAAATGTATAAAAAACTAATGGTGCTGCACCCCGTTGGTAAACCGTATAACCTTTTAATGCTATTGAATATCATAGAAACAAATTGTGTGGTTGAAACAGCTGGCAAAATTATTTAATTCCTTACAAATATGAATAATCATAAGGTTAACATGGAAAACTCTAGAGCCGCTGGGGCGGAGCCCGAAAGGATTTTTGAGGTAAGAATATGTCTATATGTTAATCGGGAATGTGAGCTATCGTCATACCAAATTTCAAAACAATCCGACCAGTAGTTAATACGTGATTGAACTTCAAACAAACAAACAAACAAACAAACAAACAAACACACAAACTTTCACATTTATAATATTAGTATGATGTCCGTGAATGCGATAACTTGAAGCTTAATTTTTGTCTGATTTTGATGAAATTTAGTTAAAAGGTGTAAAGCGGGATAAACTTGAATGAGTTCATGAACCAGCATGACCGGATCATGGTACCGGGGCTTTACAGGGGGTTTTATGGGGTAAATATTGGTTTTTCTCACTTTTGACCCTCAAAACACAAAATGTCCCAATTTCTCTTTAGACCTTTCTTAAGAGCTTAAAAAATATATAATTTAGTACTGGTATATAAAAGTATTTTTGTACCGCTATTGGTAACAGAAAAAAATGTAAATTTAAAATTCCCATGTTATTTTTATGGAGAATATTGTAAAATGTTGTAGTTTGCTTGTTTATGGATATATTTTGATCAAACTTGGCAAATTTATTTATTTTATACTAAGCTATTAATATTTTACCAAACAACACACTTTATTAGTTTCCTTGTAGCAGCAAACCTAGGTACTCGTTAAACATAATGATATTTAAATATATGTTGCATTGAAAATCAATTTAAACAAATGGAAATTCGCTTAGTTGGCAGGTTTGCTGCGACGGGGGTATTTTTGATGAAACATGGAAATACCGAACAAACTAGTAAAATAATCCCAAAACCTAGATAATTATTTCTTAGACCGTAATTCTAGGAATCTAAAAACAGCAAGATGTAAGGTCTTTCTCAAATAGTAACTAAAATATAAGTGATTTTGCAGAGTACTGCATTTATCCGCCCTTAAAAACTTTAGACAAACAAGTAGGGGACAAAGCAAGGTGGGTAGGGGTGGCGACTTTTGGCTAGAGACTTGTCAACATGACAGTAGTCAATGGGAATAAATCCAGCCTGTAGTATTTTTTTGGTCTAAAATCCCCAGATTGACTGGACTACAGTAATTGAGAAATTTGCTATAACTAATGATTTGCTTTACCCACGCTTTCATAAAGATTTCATATATTTAATTTTCCTAATAGTATTCAAAAACCTTCCAGTGTTACTATGCTATATAAATCAAAATGCTCTCAGCACTCCACAATGTAAAGACCACTATAATGATTGTAATATTTTAAAAATCTTGAGGTCCAATTAAGAAGTCACAGTTATGAAGGGAGCAAAATATTTTTTATATTGGGGTGATGTATTGGTTATTCCCTAATAGGCCTAAATGTGAAAGCAGCCTACAATTGGGATTGTATTTTCACTACCGCTATGGTAGGTAGACATTGAATGAGTTTAAAAATACCTATGGGCCTAGTTCAGTTTTAAAACAATCCCATTGACAAACAGGTTTTTTTTAGGCTTACCTATGTCATGTATTTTGAGACACATTGAGTCACATTTTTGTTTGAATGTCTTTTATGATTTGTAACTAATTTAGTTTCTGTATGTTTGTTTTCTAGGTCCTTGCGGTGGAAAAACAACTGGCCAATCAAGGCTGTGCACGTTCTTTGAGAACTTAGGATGGAAAGTGAGTAAACATTTTTTCTATAGCCTAATCTTATTCCTACATTCCTTATATGTTTGTTGATTGATGTTATTTTATTTTAACATTTTTGTACTTCATAGATAACCTATTGTTGATTAAATTTGTTAAAATTCAATTTTAGTTAACCTAGGCTATTAATCTTCTGTAGGGCGCATTGATTTTCAAATACCAAAGGGCGCTCACGGAAGTTACCTCCGGGAGTACAAAAACTATACAATGATGATTAAAAAACATTTTAATAGCAATAAAACTGTAAGAAAAACATTTTTTATGAGTTATTACACTATTACTTAAGTTGTATATCAAATAGAAAATGTTATAATAAAAAATAAAATTGCGTAAGTGTTGTGGAAAAAAAGACTTATTTTTAGCGAATTTCCCATATAGGGAATAAGCTATTACCGTAGTACTCATGGTAAGACTTGGACCCGGGACCGATTTACTTTTTCGTTTTGAGGTCCCTAGAGGCCAAAAACACCAACCGTTCAAATTCATATATATATATATATATTTATTTTGTTATTGTATACATTAATGAGGGCTACTTTAAATGTTACTAAGTAAATCAAAATACCACAGTACCCTAAAAACATTTTATTTTATATTACTTACATGTTTCGGACATTAATGCCATGATCACAGTATAGTACATAACGTATTAGTTTCTTTTATTTACAAACATTATTAGACATTTCTTGTTAAAGAACAGGTGATAATTTTTATGTTAAGGGAAGGAGGTGTTTTCTTTAAGATTTATAATTTCATTGAATATTACGTTTTGATTTTGAATTTGTGTCAAGTTTAGTAAATTGTCTTTGTCATTAATATGATGAGTATAAATATAAAAGTCTTCTTTTGCATTCATTTTTTCACCTTTATTTTCAACATCCAGAATGTGCATATTTTTATTAATTTCTGAGTATGTATGGTCGGTCTGAAGTATATGTTCGGCGTATGAGGATTTTTGTGTTGTCATGTTGTTTGATCTTATTGCCTGTATATGTTCTTTGTACCTGACTTCGAATGTTCGACCTGTTTGACCAATATAGTACTTTTCACTGTTGTTACATGATAATTTGTAAATTCCCGATTTCTTACATACATTTGGGGGGTTGGGTCTCGGATTTGTTCTTTTTTGAATTATGTTAAAAGCGTTATTCCTTGTTTTAAAACTTAGTTTAAATTTTGAGTTCGGTAATGTCTTTCTTAAGGTTTTGTTTAAGGATGAGCTGAATGGAATATATATAAATTCTTTCTTTACGTTTTCTTGTTCTTCTACTTTCATTCTTTTCGTTTTTTCATTTTTTATTAATTTTTCAATCATTTTTTCTTTGTATTCATTTGTTTCTGCAATTCTTTTTATAGTTTTCTTTTCTGTTCAAAGTTGTCTTTAGACATTGGTATGTTAAGTAGTCTAAATACCATTGAATTGAATGTAGAAATTTTGTGTTGCCAAGGATGGTTTGACTCAAATGGAATGATTAGGTCAGTTTGGGTAGGTTTCCTATATATATTGAAATTATGTCGATTGTTTTCTTTAGTAATTGTTATATCTAAGAAATTTATCTTCTTTTCTTGTGTCTCCATCTAGAATCATCAAAAATCATAAACGACGAAAATCCGTTTAAAAAAGATATAATCTATTGGTATAGATATGTCGATGATATATTATGCTTATACAACGGCAATAAAGACTCATATCAAGATTTTTTGAAATGTTTAAATTTGTGGTGCCACTAAACTGTCTAACACAATAACCATGTGTTCTGTATTTACTTTAATCATTTGTTTATTTTTTGTTATCCTAGCAACCTAGGTAACAACAGTTTTTAACAACAGTTTTTCTGATTTGAATCTAGTGGATTACGCTACTTAACTATTCTCTGTAAATTAAATGACCTTTTACTAGAATGATTTGTTTTAGTGTGTCTATCCGCTAGAAATGGTGACCCCGACTAACAAGTAAATTATTTCAAACTAAATTGATGTTTTTCCTACATTAAATTTCAACCTTCTACCAAAACTTCATTTATTTTTCACCTTTCCCCAAATTATCGTTTTACGCCATGGACCAAGAACTTTTGGAGCGCCTAGCTCAATTAGAGAGTGAGAATGCCAACCTACAAAGACAACTTCAAGATTTGAATGGAAGACAAGAACAAAATCACATTTCTGTACATCCTCAAGAAGCCAACCTACCTGATCTTCCACCAGTTCTACCACAGCATCAGCCAGATCATACAGCCCATTCCGACGAACGACATGAAGATCATCACATCCACCGGGTAAGCATAAAACTTCCACCATTCTGGAAAGAGAAACCAAGGCTCTGGTTTGCCCAAGTTGAGGCTCAGTTTACACTGGCTCACATCACGAGTGAAACAACTAAATACTCGTATGTAATTTCACATCTTGATGAGCGCTATGCTAATGAAGTGGAGGATCTTATAATAGATCCACCTGTTGAAACTCCTTACTCTACTCTTAAGTCTGAAATAATCAGGCGGTTGTCTCTATCTGAGGAGCAACGCATTCGTCAGCTATTGATGGAGGAGGAACTAGGTGACAAAACTCCTTCTCAGTTCCTACGCCACCTTCGATCACTTGTAGGTTCGACCACAATCCAAGATAGTTTACTGAAAACTATTTGGATGCAGAGACTTCCTGCTCATGTACAGAGTATTTTGCAAGTGCAAACAAGTGCCCAAACTGACACACTTGCAATTACTGCCGACAAAATTCTAGAAGTCCAACCTAACGCATCTTTTTGTCATTCTCCAACTAGTAGGCCTACATCTTTGAATGCCGTTAATTCACCAAGTCCTAAATCTTCAATTTCTGATGACTCAAAATTAACTGAAGTTTTGTCAAAATTATCTACTTTGGAGTTACAAATGAAAAATATGCGTAATGATGTTGATTCCCTACGTAAAAGGCGACCTAGGTCACGTCAGAGGAGTTTGTCAAGTAACCGTTATCACGCAGGTAGCTCCTCTGACACTTTAGAGCAAACCAATCTATGCTGGTACCACAAGCGTTTTGGCTATCAAGCTGAGAAGTGCATTCCACCATGTAATTTCACTTCTCCGACAAACTCCAAAGGCAGCCAGTGATGGCGTCAGCTGACTGCCAAGCTGGAGGGCGCCGCCTACGAATCGTCGACCGGACTACCAATACAAAATTTTTAATTGACACTGGATCTGACATATGCTGTCTCCCTAAATCATTTGTTTGTAAGAACCAAAAGCGTATTGAATATGAACTTCGTGCAGCAAACAACTCTGCCATTCACACCTACGGTATGATGACATTAACATTAAACTTAGGGCTGAGACGAGCTTTTACATGGAATTTTGTCATTGCTGATGTTAATACAGCGATTATAGGCTCTGACTTTTTAGCACACTTTGGATTGCTTCCTGACTGTCGTAATCAACGATTGATTGACAGTGTAACAAACCTTTCTGTTCTTTGTCAATGTACCTCAATCCCTCATTTCAGCATAAAAACTATCACACCCAATTCTCCAACTTCATCAATACTGGCAGAATTTCCCATGATTACCCGACCCTCTGGTACACCAAGAAAAGTGCTCCATTCAACCTTGCATTTCATCAAAACGACCCCTGGCCCCCCAGTTTCATCTCGTCCACGTCGACTCGCTCCTGATCGGCTTGTTATAGCCAAAGCCGAGTTTGATGCCATGCTCACCGATGGTACTGCACGTCGATCTGATGGACCTTGGTCATCACCCCTTCACATGGTCCCTAAGAAACCTGATGGATGGCGCCCCTGTGGAGACTACCGTGCTCTCAACGCTAGGACTATTCCTGACAGATATCCTGTTAGACATATCCACGATTTCACCCATTCTCTCAGAGGTTGCAAGTATTTCTCTGTGATCGACCTAGTGAAGGCCTACACACAAATCCCTGTCAACCCTGAAGACATCCCGAAGACAGCCATTACAACCCCCTTTGGATTGTTTGAATTCCCCTTCATGTCCTTTGGCCTCCGCAACGCAGGACAAACTTTTCAGCGTTTCATCGATGAAGTAGTTTTTGGTTTAGACTTCTGCTTTCCTTATATAGATGACGTCTTAGTTTTCTCTAAGGATGAGACTGAACATGAAGCCCATCTACGAACTCTATTCAATCGGTTTTCTGATTATGGCATACTCGTTAACGTAAATAAGACTGTTTTGAAAGCTCCAAAGGTTACCTTCCTAGGATATGAGGTATCATCTGCTGGTACTCGACCACTTCCTGAACGTGTTGAGGCTCTGCAACAATTCACCCGTCCCTCTACTGCAAAAGGTTTGCGTCGTTTTCTCGGCATGTTGAATTTCTACCGCAGATTCATTCCTTCAGCAGCCAAGCAACAAGCAGCTCTCCATGATGCCCTCTCATCTCTACGTGGAAACCAACCTGTAAATTGGACTCCTGAATTGGATGCTGCATTCTTATCCTGCAAAGAACATCTCTCCAATGCTACCTTGCTTGTTCACCCTGACCACAAGGCCCCTCTCGCATTGTTCTGTGATGCCTCGAGTACCCATGTAGGAGCTGCTCTCCAGCAGATGGTTGACAATAAAACATGGGAACCTCTCTCTTTCTTTTCACAGAAACTGACACCAAAACAATCCCTTTGGCCAGCCTATTACCGTGAGCTTTTCGCTGTATATGCCGCCATTCGTCACTTTCGTCACTACCTTGAGGCAAATCATTGCATAGTTTTCACAGACCACAAGCCAATAACATTTGCCTTCAGTCAAAAACGTGAAAAACTACCTCCTGTTCAGCAAAACCAACTAACATTCATTTCACAATTCACTACAGACATAAGACATGTTTCTGGATCGGCCAACCTAGTAGCTGACGCATTTTCTCGTGTAGATTCATTGTCAACTACGGCTCCCAGCATTGTAGATGCCAAAACTTTGGCACATCATCAAGACTCTGACCCTGAGCTACAAGAGATCC